CTTCAGAACAAAGACTTTTACATTCTGAAACTTTGGATCCACTTAAGCACTCAAATTTTCAGATAAATCTAATTAGATTCATCAAGATGGAAAAAAGATACTCAAATCAAAACATTGGCTTTGATTCACCCATCAGTAGGTATAGACTTTCTTAGAGGCAGGTCTTTTATTTTGTTGGTTGCATAAATTCCTCCAGAACTCTCCCCACTTCCTAGGAATCGTCTAACAAAGTGAAAGTTCCTCATCTTTTATAATCCAGGAAAAATAAATATGTTCCAAAATATTTTAGGATTTCATTTCGATATCTGGAGTTAAGAGATGACTACCTGCAAGTCACTACAATTTTTGAGAGACAGAGGAACCATTTGAGATGTCACAGATTCAGCAAAAATTAGAACTGTTAGTATATGTTTTATCAAGTGCCTAAATTAGCACTTCACATAATCATGAAATTAGAGATTTGGGAGAAATCTTACACATCACCTAAACTTATTCCCTTTACAGATGAAGAAATGTGGAAATGAGATGAATCCAGATGTCCTGCATTAGTATTACAAATAGTAGTAGTGCCTTTTTACTTTTAATGCTGTAATATACATTTAAATAGTACAATATATTATTTTTTCAATTATTTTTATAAAAATTTTACCAATATCATAATTTCATTTTATTTTTTTATTATTTCTTTTATTTTTTTAAATATTTTACATATTTATCTGAGAGAGAGCGAGCACGCGCTCAAGAGAGCGTGAGCCCAGGGGCTGGGGTGGGGAGCAGCAGAGGGAGAGGGAGAAGACTCCCCGTTGAGCAGGGAGCCGACATGGGACTCTATCCCACGATCCTGGGATCATGACCTGAGACTAGGGCAGGCGCTTAACCGACTGAGCCACCCAAGTACCCCCAATATCAAAATTTTAATTTATGGGCTTATTTCAACCATTTATATACTTTCCAAGCCATAGAATATAAGAAACTAAACATGTCAAGCCTCTAGGCTATTGTGTGACAAAATACTTTAATATTAGGAGTAGGAATGCCAATGTGTCAGCAGTGGTTTTGGTCAGTTAAAATGTTCAAGAAGCAGAATTAATTCTATTAAGCCACCAGGGTACTATATAATGCACAGCGCTAATTACTGAACTGAAAAAGATTATGCTATTTTCAGACAGGCCTAATAACTCTCTTAGGACAGCAATTAAAAAAGTTTGAGTCTGCGCTTTAAGTCATTTCCTGACTGAAATGAGTTTCTGGTGGGAAAACCATTATTTTAAGTGCCACAAAAATGTCAGTCACGGTCACGAATTAGTGTTGAATCCCTTAACATCAGCAGAACAGCAGAACATCACAGACACAGAAGTTGAATAAGGTTCAGATTGTCAGTGTGACAAGGCAGAATGGATAGCTATCATCTTGCAAGTTGCTGAAGACACCGAAAACACTGAAAATCTATCTAAAAATAGAAATTTTTGTAAATTATTTTTGAGAGAGTGGCAAATCGTCTTTATTTTCTGCCACTTTTGAAACATTTTTTAAGGAAGTTAAAATGGTCACTTTAACTGTCCCATTTAAATCTATTTTTTATCTGCCACTTTTGAAACATTTTTTAAGGAAGGTAAAATGGTCACTTTAACTGTCCCATTTAAATCTGAAACCATGATGGTTCAGGTCTGATGACTAAAGTCATCCTACAGTTCATCAGGTAAAATAACACTACTTTTCCGCCAGGACTGAATAAAAGGACATAACAAATGTTAGCACAGAAATTTTAACCAAATTTCATAGCAATGATAATTACTTTTTTTCTTTCTCAGTGATTTGTTATTTTCAAAGGGTTTCTTTATATTTTTCATTTCAACATGTATCTACTATGTGTGTACTCTGTGTAAAGCACTGTAGGAGATTGGAGTCAGGAAGATACAAATGAGGCAGACTGCCTTTCTGAGTCTTGTTTTTAACCCACAGATACCTTTCAACTGAATTTATATTACTATATAATGAATGGCTATGATTTCCGCAATAATTTTTTTGTTTACAAATAAAGAAATCTGAAATAATTGGCAATTGTAGCAAATCCATTGATTTCCCTCCACCCTGGTGCCATCACCACAGTTCAGACAACTATGATCAGTTGCATCGGTTGCCTGGATTGTTTGTGATATCTTCCTAAAAGCTCACCTGCCATCAGATGTACACCCTACAATCTATTGTCAGCAGACAATGTTGCAAAAGAGGGTAGCCAGTAATCTTCCTCTATCAAAACCATGAAAATCACTTTCTTCTGGTAGTTCCTTAATGCTCTCAGACTAGAACTTTATCATTTCTCTTACACTTAAAACAGTGCCAGCTTGCAGAGTAAAAACTCAGTAAATACGTATTGAATGGATAAATGGATTGATAAATGAATAAAGAATGAACGTTGCCTGAAATTAGCAAATTGGTTTGTGTTTTGTTTTGTTTTGTTTTGTTTGACAGAGAGAGAGACAGCAAGAGCAGGAACACAAGCAGGGGGAGTGGGAGAGGGAGAAGCAAGCTTCCCGCTGAGTAGGGAGCCCGATGCGGGGCTCCATCCCAGGACCCTGGGATCATGACCTGAGCCGAAGGCAGACGCTTAACGACTGAGCCACCCAGGCGCCCCGAAATTAGCAAACTGGTGAGTCAGATTTAAAATCTCAGTACTATGACTCTAGAGTTATTTTTTGTACAGAGTATAAGAATGAACAAATTTAACATTTGTAATTTATATTTTGTGGTAATTAAAATATGTGAAACATTGAAACATTTATATTTTACTTGTATTTATTGAATAAGAATGATTTTAATTAAGAAACTATGGAAGCTTTGTTAACTTTTGGAGGAGACAGAAACTTTAAAACAATCATTTATTGAATATTCCTACAACTTGAAATAATTTATATTATTTCCAAAGCCTAACCATGCAGAGAATTTCATGTAATGAATTGCGTTTTTACAGGTTTTTATGCCTAGAAGTTTTTATTGTGGTGATAATAAAACGTGATTTAAATTATCAGGCAATGTCCCTGGTACAGTCAATGACCCAAAGACAACATAAAAAGAAATAATCTCATTAGGAAATATTCTTGCTTTCCTTCCTTAAACAGATCATATATCAAAGATATGCTACTTGTTTATATTAGAAAATACTATATCATCCCCCAACTAGATTTTCTTCCTTTCTTCTGCCCAGGGAACAGACAAAAATCATGAAAGCCCTGTCCTGTAATTCCTATCTTTTATATCTGTTGACATTTTAAGAGCCTTATCTCTTGGTAACGCCCATAAAATGTTCATCTCCCACCTAACCCAAATATTTTAAATTTTTACAGCAGAAAAATCAAAACAAAACAAAACAAATAAACAACAACAACAACAACAAAAACAGAAGATAAAGTACAGTTCCCTGACTCTGTCATGCCCTTGTATCACTTTGAGTCTGTGTACAGGCTCTTTCCCCAGCACCCTCCCATACTTTTTCTCCTGCTCAACCATGTGCAAAGCCCTGCCTAGATTCCCCACCTCTGGAGAATCCTCCTTAACATCCCTTCCGCCATACTGTCCTAATCATATGCCGGGGAGCTGGCATATTTTACACGCATCATTCTCTGTTACGTTTGCTTATTGACATGTTAGTCTCCTCCATTAAACTGGGGATTATCAAAATGAGATTCTTTTGTTTTTGTTTTTTAAGTGCTACAATGAGAAGGGAGTGAAATCTAGAGCTAGGTTTAGGTGAAAATGTTAACAGATCTCTCATACCCCAAATTTGCCTTGCATTTTGTTACATGACCCATGCACTTCAATAATGATATGACTTCCATGAGAAAATAGTCATCTCATTTCGCTCTCATTCTTCTCACAGTAGACAGCAATGGTAGGAACACGATGACTAATCGAGTATTCAAAAGGAACATGTTAGTTCTATTTGGTGATGAATGCCACATGCAATCTTCATCAGAAAGCTTAAAAGGCACCACCTTGGAACGGATGGAACCCTGTAGTTCCACAGAATGAGAGCAGAAGGCGGAGACACACCCTGACACCAATGAAAAGACTAGATGTCCATTTGTCTTCTCATCAGCTTTGCTTCCTGAAGGTACCCCTACAAGCTCACAGTACTGTTATAAACCATGTACATGTTGAGTATCAGTCAAGGTCACCAAATAAGAAGTCACCCAGTTTTGAGAAAAAAATTAACTCTGGGCTATTCTTTAACATTCTATGAGATGCTTTCATGAATTTAACTTAAAATTAACAGGATCCATTTATATACCCAAAAGTAGAGAATTCAATGCTTTTAATCCTTACCTAGGGCCAGTCTCACAGCCAGACACAAATTTAAAGCCAAACATCCATATCTTTTTTTTTTCCATTAGGTGCAGAAAACAACAATGACAAAAACTCTGCCTGAAGTATAAACAGGGAGAGCAACTGAAATAACACTATCCCTGACAGGTTCATACACAATCTGCTTAATAATACACAAACAAACAAACAAAATCACTCTGCATTTGAAATGCTTTGCAATTTTTGCTCTTACTTTTCATAAGTCTAGTTTCATAAAGAATGTGATCATCTCATTTCACTTACTCTATGATCCACTCTTATCTCTGCTGTCAATAAGATGACCAACAGAAGGGAAAAAGCCCTTCCTACCAACAGCAGAAACATTTAATATTTAGAGGTAAATATATGCATGTAGGTGTATGAATAATAAAATATGTTGAATAAACAAGTGAAGTCCAAACCCCTGGAGAATAAAAGATGAGTCTGGGCTGTGCTCATATCAGAACAGTGCACTGCATTTAGAATTCAAAGATTCCTTGTTTGATTGAATAAAGCATTTATTGTTTTTAGTACTAAAACAAATTAAGATTTTTATCTTCTTCCTAGAGTGTCCCAGAGAACAGGCTACTTGTCAGCTGTTAGATATGGATAGATAAAGATACAGATGTAAATGTACATATTAGTAGATAGAGATATACCTTAATTGTAGTTGTGTGTGCTCCAGGGTATTCTTTTTCTTCCAGTGTTGACCATCTTTCTATAAATTTGGATACCAGGGAATCATCATAGTCCACTATTTGAAATCCAGAGACGTTTGCACCTCCAAACTGAATTTTTAATAGGTCTCCATCAGTAAATCCCTAGACATAGAAAACGTTTGTCAGGCTTTCCTGAGAATCAAAGAGAACTTAACATTTACCAAATAACTCTATACATTGTGGTTTTACAAATGTCAAAGAACACATGAGTGATAAAAAGCCTAGAGTAAATGTTTGTGTATTTACAGCCAATATTCCGAACCAGTACCTACTGCCCTCTTGGCATCACAGTGGATCTTTAATCAATGATTTTTAGTTGATTGTACTCACATAAAAGCTCTCCATTTTATTGAGAAATCTTCCATGGATAAGTACTGGTTTTATTTATGCAATCTACAACAGAGCTCTACCACAGAGTCAGAGATACTCAGTAACATAAACCTAGTTCCCAAGAGCTACAAATGGTAAGCAAGTTATTCTTATTTAAATTGTTCATTCTCTCAGGTGATAAAACACCTTTAAAAGGAGAATGGAAAGTACTGAATGCCTAGTCATTATTTGAGAACAGTCAAATAATTTCATATTAAGTGTGCAACTTAATTTTTTATAACATATATGAAAGTTTAAAAATCACTTGCATTATTAGAATGAATTCAGTCATTAGTAAAACTATCATGTGGTGTTTCCATTGATTTCAAATATTGTGCTGTCATAAATTCTATCTCATTTTGAGAGTATATTCTCTCAAAGATGAAATCACAATTTTAATAAATCACAATTATAAATATTTTTACCTTATACATTTACTCATTATTCTGCATAAGGATTGAAAACATCCCTGAATCCAAAATACAAGAGAATCTTTTCTTTGTTATTGATATTAAAAAACATATTTTAATACTATCTGTGTGAAGAAGGATAATTACTTTGTTATTGGCTCATTATTTTGGTTTTTCTTTTCATTAAAATAATGCAAAATAGTGCAAGAATACGTAGAACAAAAGTCACAGCTTTTCTGCTCTGCCCCGCCCATGCTCCAGTTAAGCTGCTTCAAAACAATCAATTTCAGTAATTTTTGTTTTTCATATATTTACCTCCATATTTCTGTATGACACATTTTCACTATTCTTTCTTAAATTATTCATTTTAGATATTTTTATTGAGTTTCTGCTTATGTCAGATGAGTATGTAATTCATTCACATTTACCTGTTCACTCATTTTCATGTTCATGGTTTTCGTATTTATAATTCTATTATTCAGAGCAAGGTCAAATAATGTGGTAGGACTGCATTTTCCTTCTTTTGTTTGTGTTTTTTTTTTTTTAAGAGAGAGAGAGCACAAGTTGAGTGGGAAAGGCAGAGAGAGAGAGAATCTTAAGCAGGCTCCAAGTTCAGCACAGAGGTAAGGCTCGATCTCAGAACCCTGAGATCATGACCCGAGTGGAAATCAAGAGTCAGACACTTAACCAACTGAGCCACCCAGGTCTGATGTTAGTAATTGCTTCATTTTTTTCACTACTATAGTTTCCTCTATACCTATCCTTATTTTTCTCTAGTTGCTCCATGAGAACTTTTCATGTTTATATGAGTAAATTTTTTAAGTAATATCAAACACATCAAGTAATCTGTTTCTCTTTTTTCTGAATATTTAATTGGCAGGAGACCTTCTGAATTGGTGCCTCTTTCCATCTCCTCTGCAACTGTTCCTCTGGAGTGTCCATTCACCATGTTTCCGACTTGTTCACCCGCTTCCTGGATCACTATTCTCTCATGTTTTACTCCCTTCTTCTTCCAGAGCCCTCAATACTTCCCTCAGACACATTGGAGGTAAATTTCTTGAGACACTGAATGTCTCAAGATATCTTCATTTTGCTCTGACACTTGATTATTTTGGCTGGGTACCGAATTTTATGTTGAGACTCTCATAATCTGACTTTTATTGTTCCTACTGAAAAATACAATGTCATTATTTCTAATTACTTTTTTATGTCACCTGCTTCATACTCCTCTCTGCCTCCACCTCCCACCTGTCCGAAACTTTTAAGATCTCCTATAGATCTCTGAAATTTCATGACGACATTTTCTTTGAAACATGAAAGAAGTCTTTCTTTCATTGTTTTGTTTACTCAATGGGCATATTTGTATCATCGAGTACTGGGAATTTTTCTGAATGCTCTTTGATAGTTCCTTTCCCCTGTCTTCACTATTCTGTCTTCCTAGAATGCCTGGCATTAAGATATTGTAACTCTTAGATTAAACATCTAAATTCCTCACAAATTCTCTGCACACACCACTTCATATTGTATTGTCATTTTGTTACATAATCTGGAAGATTTTTCCTAACCTTGTCATCAAAGTCATATAATTTTACTTGTTATTTTAGAAAAAAAAAATTTCCCATAGCTCTTTTTTATTCTCTGAGGTTTTATTTTTCTTTTTCATAACATACTTTCTCTCTTCTTTTTTTAATTTAATTTAACTTTATTATGTTATGTTAGTCACCATACATTACATCATTAGTTTTTGATGTAGTGTTCCATGATTCATTGTTTGTGCATAACACCCAGTGCTCCACGCAGAACGTGCCCTCTTTAATACCCATCACCAGGCTAACCCTCTCCCTAACGCCCTCCCCTCTAGAACCCTCAGTTTGTTTCTCAGAGTCCATAGTCTCTCATGTTTCGTCTCCCCCTCTGATTTCCCCCCCTTCATTTTTCCTCCTTCCTTATGGGTAGTTAATTTTCTTCTCTTTCTCTGCAGATACTCATTACAATTTTAAACATTTTTCTTGTGTTTTCTGCCTGCCCTGTTCCTGTTTATTTATTCATTTATTTATTTGTTTGTTTTGTATTACATCCTTCATGGACCAGACTTTTCTCAAATGCCTGATTCTCTTTGGCTGTTTAACACTTAGACACTAAAACATTTCTTGGAATTTCCATGTGCATGGGGGAGGCTCCTTGACAAATGTGCTTCACTGTAAGATAGTCAGGTGGGGGTGGATTGCACTGTCCATATTTATGGGTTGAAGAAATGAGAACTGGATCCCTTTATGACTACTTCTTCATCACTTTATGTACAAAATATCCTTTTAAATGCTATATCAGGAAATTAATCACAATCTGTGTTTTGGGAGCCTAATCAAGCATTACCAATTCCTGAGGAAATTCATCAGTAATGGTATCTGAGGACTTTTCTACCTTTTATAGCCACCTCCTTTAACACTCATTAGACTCTGGACAGGGGAAGGGGGACATCTCCAACCAAGAGTCTGGAAGATGAACGCTCTTTAACTCTGAATGGGATTCTTCAATTTTAAATGTCAGTGAAATTTTCAAGCTCTAAATTCTCAGAAACTGCAGCACTCCTCAGATTATTTGAACTTACTGATTCACTAGAAGTTCCATATGTTGAAGATACCAAGTATTCAGAAATGAAAAAGCAGAATTTGAATTCAGATAAAATACTGGGTATGTTCCTCCCTAGAAGCATGATAGCAGCAGGCTCATGTTTTATATATATATATATATAAATATATATATACATATATATATATTTTTTTTTTTTTTTTACTTTGGTCATCCATACATTTCTTTCCTTTTCATAGCATCAGATATCAACTCTCAAATTGATGAGCCACCTTCTGTCATTATTTCTCAATGTTCCAATATAATCTTCTCCATCTGGACATTTTTAAAGATCACGGCTTTCAATGTGGCTCTGTGTTGTTCATCAAATGGCACAATTCACACAGGGGACTAACTGTCCAGGCTGTTCTTTGCACAGAATGTGGCTCTGAAGAGTGAATACAGAGCTTTATCTATTTTAACCCTTGCTTCTCTGGTAGGGGGTCATTTAGGATCTATAATATCATATTAATGGAAAAATTCTAATGAATTTTATAGTAGTTAGCCATTTCATTGGTAAACAGAAGTTTTATCTGAACAATCAACTTCTACTAATAACATGCAAGTTTGAGATTTAATATTCTAAATCACTGGTGCCACCTTCTAGTGAAAACAGTATCAGTTGTAAAGTTTTTGTTTTTGTTTTTTCCATCATTACTAGAGAGAATGTCTTCTGATATAACAATCTAATATTCCAGAAATCACTTACAGAAACAAATCTACAGGGCTGCCTGGGCTCAGTGGGTTAAGCTGCTGACTCTTGGTTTGACTCAGGTCATGATCTCAAGCCCCGAGTAGGGCTCCATGCTGCTGAGCATAGAGCCTGCTTGGAATTCTCCCTCTTGCTCTCCTTCTGCCCTTACCCTCATTCCCTCTTTCTCTCTCCCTATCTTTCTAAACAAACAAACAAAGAAACAAACGAAAATTAAAAAAAGAAAGAAAGAATTCTACATTTGGGGGGCTCAGTCATTAAGCGTCTGCCTTCGGCTCAGGTCATGATCCCAGGGTCCTGGGATCCAGCCCCGCATCGGGCTCCCCACTCCACGGGAAGCCTGCTTCTCCCTCTGCCTGCTAGTACCCCTGCTTTTGTTCCCTCTCTCATTGTGTCTCTGTCAAATAAATAAAATCTTAAAAAAATAAAAAAAGAATTCTACATTTGGGTAAATATGAAACCTTTTCAGAGTCCTATTATGCTATTTAGAATAAGCTCTCATTTTTTCCCTCCTTTTCTCATATCTTCTTGAGTTTGGGAAGGGCAGTTTTCTCAGTCAAGTAAGATCATACTTCCTCAAAGAACATAAACTTTTGCAATGGTAAAGGCTTAAGGTCATTTTACTACTGATCTGAAAACTATTTTGAAAAAAGTATCTAAAAATAATTCTAAATTGGCTCTGATTATACTTGAGAGGGAGCTACAATTAACCACTTGGATGTTCAGTATAATCATAATTTGACAGAAATCCCAATGAAAAAGTGATCAGCTACAGGGATTTAATTTCATTGTGTTGCTTACATATTAAATAGAAAATCAGAAATAAATAAAATAATATGTTAATATTCTTGACATTTACAGCTTTAATTTTTCACTGATGTATTCTCCCAAATGTGCATTTATTTCAGATACTATATTTACTAAAAACTTTAAAGGAATGCACAGAGGGAAAAATTATAAAACACTATGATAGTGAGAAACAAGAGGAAATTTGAACAATTAAACTTTATATATTTTTGAAAACTTTTCCATAATTAAATATGCCTTCTAAGACAATTTATAAAGTTTGTCAAATATTTCTTACATCACTAATAATAGGAAATTGATTAGAAAATGTAAAATGAGAAGTGAGTGTAAAACACAAACTCAGAAAAATATTGTTACTTCTAATTGATCAATAAAATCAAGATATGTTTTAAAAAATAACACCGATAAATGCTGGTCATTCAAAACTATTTTATAAGTAGCTCTATTAAAATTATAAATATCAATTAATTCACCTACCAGATTTGCAATGATATAATGGTAACCTTTAACATGTTTTCCAATGGTAATAACCTAACAAAGATAAAGAAACAATTATTTAATACATGCAAATAATATAAATTAAAATTATTGATGTTATGACCCAATTGAGGAAAAAAGTGGAATTTTATCTACTGTTTTCTGATATTCTATGATGATTCCTACTTGATAAAATACAATTATCAAATCCAGAGAATATTTCTCTCAGAAAAAAGTAACAATACATTTTAGTGCTTTATAAATGCTATCTTTCAAGAAGTCAATAACTGAACAAATAATTACTTCAGTTTAGTCAACAGTGAAAATAAGGTCAGAAGATTTTCAAGAAATGTAAAACAAAAAGAATATTGAATCCATAATAAGTCACAATTTTATTCCTCCAAAAGCTATTTTTCTAAAACATCAGAGAGCTGAAACCAACACCTGAGATTTTATATTCACACATCAACACTCAAATTTATAGTAGAACATAAATTTAAAAAAATATTAAGCATATAAAAGAATTCTTATATGAATCTATAAAATAATATTCCCATCTTAAGAGTCTTGAAATGTTTGCAATTTAGTTCAAATGAACATTTTTGTTTCCAGCTTGAGGTAGCAAAACATCAGAGAAGCTAATCTTTCTCCACAAATCTGTCAAAAAAAAAAGAAGAAAATAGCAGGAGGGGAAGAATGAAGGGGGGGAATCGGAGGGGGAGACGAACCATGAGAGACGATGGACTCTGAAAAACAAACTGAGGGTTCTAGAGGGGAGGGGGGTTAGGGGATGGGTTAGCCTGGTGATGGGTATTAAAGAGGGCATGTATTGCATGGAGCACTGGGTGTTATGCACAAACAATGAAACATGGAACACTACATCCAAAACTAATGATGTAATGTATGGTGATTAACATAACAATAAAAAATAAAAAAAAAACTCAATGGCAAGATAAACATGGTTGTCTTGGTAATGCTCATGAGTTTGGGGCATTACTGAATCAATGTGACTTTTCACTGATCTATAGCAATTCAAGATGGTAGACATTGGTGAAATGACCCCGCTATAGTCCTAGTACTTAGATATTCAAATATAATTTTTATGTTTAAGAAAACTGTCACACCAATAGAAAGCATGAAATGGCAGGGCTGCAGACAAAATTTCAAACCATTAGCCTGGTTTATCCAGACAAAATTTCAAACCATTTCCCTGATGACACAGTTTTGATGGCTTCCCATTGCTTCTAGCATAATAAGCAAAATCCTTAATTTATGCTACAAAGTCCAATGATCTTGCAAGCTTCTCCAGACCCTCTTTTTCCATTCTCTATACTAGAGTCTCATCAGCCCTCTTTTTAAGTATTTTTGTACATGAAAAGGCTTCTTTCTGTCACCTCAGGACTTCACATATTCTATTTCCTCTGCTTGGAAAGCTCTCTCCACCACTCTATCATTTGTCTTATTAATGCTTCAGGCACAAGGAATCTCAGCCCAATGCTACCTCTTAGGAAAAGACTTCCCTGACCTTCCCTTATCCCAGACAAAGTCAGGTACTTCAAAGCAATGTATTTAGTTAAAGAACAAGGTCAAAATCCTAGGAAAGAGTCCACCAAATGCCCATTTGATGTTAAGTGATAGCTATTTGGAAGAGTTAGGGCTTGTGTCATTTTCTAACCTATTTTTATGTAATACAACTAAATCGCTTTTTCCAAGAAAATGAACCCTCTGTATTGAAAGGAAAATTGTGAAGAAAAGATGTCCTTCTGCATGAAAAAATATATTAATTAGCATCACTTGAATTGAGTTGATTATGTCCCTCATACTTCCTACTGACATCTGTTGATTCTGCTTACTGTTCATTCTACTTTCTGAATCATGTTTGTCTTCCTTCTGGGAATTAAAAACAAACAAAGACCAAACAACAACAACATATCATAAAAATGGTGCTACCAGTAGTTGAGTTTAGCGTTCACTGAAAGAAAGGGAGGGGATATGAAAATTTACTAGCCCTGCCTCTACATAGGCATTCATGTTGACCATACTATCACATTTTTGCTTTGTAATAATCAACATTGCACTACCAATACTAAATTTATATTGATTTCTAAATGTTTCTGATGGCTGAGTCCTTTTCCCCACCCAATCACAACCAGAAATAAGTAACTCCAAGGATTTATTGAATGATAAAATACTCATAATCAACAAAGATTGATTCTCTTTCTAACTTTAAACTTTTTTAACAATAAAGTTTCATCACCTCTGTTCTCTTGTAAGTATTGATAGAGTGAATAAGTAAATAGTGTTTCCTTTTCTTGAAATGTACTTCAACCCCACTTTTTGCTTGGTAAACTCTATTCCTTGAAGGTTTTCCATGATCTCCTAATCTAAACTATTTTTGTAATTTTTTTCATAACATCCTGTTCTCTTCATTCATATATATATACAACATCATTATAATTGCATATTAATTTCTGTAAATATATCATAAATATTCACCTTAATGGGGTTTTGCCTGTTTTGTTTAACATTACTTTCTTGGATCCACCACAGTGCCTGTCTGGCAAACAGACACTCAAGGCAATTTATTGAATGAGCAAATGAATGAACCCAAGCCAGACAAATGCTGCCAGTATGTGAATATCTAACCTGCAGTACTACAGTGTGACATGTAAAACTTATTTTCCCCTCTAAACTATGGGTTAATGGGGGTACAGATACCATTCTTCCCTTTCTTTGCATGTTTCATTCTAGACACAAAGGATGTCTGCAGTTAGTGTTTGCTGAATGATGCAACCAACCATTGTACCACTCATTTAACAAATTCAAGAGTGTCTTTTGAAAATACAATATACATGTGCATACTCTCTGTACCTTTTGAATGGATATCCATACGGACATTTAATCATCATATATTTGTTTCAAAACATTGCATTCCATATATTCCCAATTTCTCCTATAGTTTCCCTCTTCTAGTTTTGGAAATAATTATTTTCATATAGACACTCACCAACATTTGTTATGATAATCCATGAATACATAAATTCTTTAAAAAAAGACTAATAACTATTATTAAAATTCAGTTTTAATGAGACTCTCCTATGAAATTCAAATGAGTTGTTGAGGTTCACATTTGAACACGAGAGCTTCAGGTTAAAAACAACCTTAATTTCATCTCCTGAGACAGGAATCAAGATTTTTCCATGGAAATGTTCACCACTCTGGCATATAAGATTTAGCTCTTTCTCATAACAAGTTAGTTTTATCCAGTTATTTAATATTTTATGCAAGATCCATTTTGTATGTCTTAGGGCCTGTATTATTACATATCAGTTAAAGCTGCATCAACATTCATGTTTGCAAAATGCTTTGTGTTATACAAATTAGTGAATTGTCTCCGCAAAGCCTAGAAAGACCTAGAAATGCATACTTAACTGCATATTTTTCTTCCAATCCTATATTATCCCAAGGAACTAGCAGCCACTAAACACACACACACACACACACACACACACACACACACATTTATCAGTTGGGAAAAGAAACAGATACCCAGGGAAGCAGATCTTAACTCACTAAATCATGATGCTGCTTCACCAACATTCCTGGTCACTTATCCTATGTATATAATATAGTGGATCTTATTTTTATCATTAGGATATTACTGAATGGCTGTCCTATCCCAAAAGACCTTAAGTGGAATCAAGGTGGTAAGGTAAGCACAGATAAAACATCCTTATATCCAGTAAAATTCTCAAACATCAAACACAGACTATGTCTCTCCTACATACAACATGCTTTCTCTGAAAGACACAGATGCATTCAGACAATATAGGCCTAATGTTCCATATTGAGCTCTAATGTTTGATGTTCTCCACGTTTTGCCATGAACCACTCACTTTTCCCTTAGAACCCCAGCCTTATTTTCACTTAATTGGTGGCTATTCCTTTATCTCTAAAAAGTTCAATAAGTTAAATTTTAAATTTCCAACTAAAAATACCAAATTTTAGGGCAATGCTTATCATATAAAACAGAAGACTCAATAGTTACATATTTAATATAGTTAATGATTAATATAATGTGTCAGCATGATTGAAGACCATCTGCTATTGCTAACCAAAGCCAGAGATAATTTAATGATGATCTTTGCTGCATCCTACATAAAACCATAAAGGAAAAACTGCTGTTCAGCACCTCACACAAATACTCACTGCAAAATGCTGACACTGCACGCACATTCTATAGTTGGTGCCATTAGAAAACAGAGAGTAGCCAACCTGGTCTACAATGTCGTTTACTTTATCCCGTTCACAGTCTAGGATTACACGCCGTTCTTTTTTTAACTCCAAATCTTGAAAAAGTGATCGGTATGTCTCATCTTTCTTGTCATTGTTAATGTTTCCCACATTGATAGCAGTCACTTGCCATTTCTTTTCAGCAGCAGAATCCAGCACAGCTTGCAGTGTTGATAAGCCTAGGAAGGCAAAGAAAAATGATGACTGATAAAGATACTTGAATAACTCAGATTTATGTTGTGAAATTGACAGCAAATATATTTTTAAGGCTGATATTTTTGTGCAGCTGAGGGGATGTTGACTCCTCTAAAAAGCTACAGTGATGATCTTTATCAACATCGATTATTTCTGCTTCACATCAAAAACTCTTTTATCTATATGCTATTGTTCTGACGGAAAGAACCATGGTTTGGGGGGAAATAGTCTCCCCTTCTTTCAGCTCTCTCAACTGTCTTCTTTCAGATATTACCAAAGAGTAATGTCTGTGATACCTTCGGTTAAAGTGAGATCCAAAGACATTACACACATTTCTTTCTCTTACAGGACGGGAAAGACTGTTTCTTTACATATGACAGTCTATCATTTCATATTAACATCCTCAAGAGGTTGCAAACATTTTCAGGGAGACAAATGTACATAAGTCTCTGTGAGCATACAAGCCAATAATCTTGATGAGGCTATTATCTTTCCTCCTATTGTCTTTCATTCGGCAATTGTTTTTCCTCAGCCTTCTATCACATCATATTTTTGTTATTGGGACTGATATCATAGAGATTAAAATGTTCTCCTATTAACCCAGATGGTAACAGTTAGTTTTCTAGCTCAGATTTGTTACATTTACTTAACTTTCCAAATGTAAGACCCATTTCCTATTTATCAGTAACTTTGCTTATAGCATCATACAACTTAGAAAATTTCTTTTTCTTTTTAATAAAAATTCATTACTTCATATGTAGGATTGAGAAGGGAAACAACTGGGGAATTTATTGCCTAAAGCTAAATCTGCAGTTTAGCACTTGGGAAAGCAGTACATAAACTTGTCTTCCATATCACTTCAACTCTTCACTAGGTGTTTCAGGATGGTTGTAATTCTGAATCTATAACCCTTCATCATTTGTTAGATGGAATCTTTCCAAAAAGGAAAAGCTTTTTCTACTAATTTCTACTAATTTCTAGTAGAAATTTCTAGTTTCTACTAAATTTCTAGTAGAAATTTCTAGTTTCTACTAATTCTTTTCTACTAATTTCTTAATGAACAACATCTTCATTTCTACTAATAACTTAATGAACAACACAAAATCTGGGCTCCAAAAAGAATTCAGGACTCATCACATCATCTTTTTTTTTAAAGATTTTATTTATTTGACAGAGACACACAGAGAGAGAGGGAACACAAGCAGGGGGAGTGGGGGAGGGAGAAGCAGGCTTCCCGCCCAGCAGGGAGCCCGATGCGGGGCTCCATCCCAGGACCCTGGGATCCTGACCTGAGCCAAAGGCAGACGCTTAACGACTGAGCCACCCACGCGCCCCATATCATCTTCTTGATTCCATAAAGTCCTACATCTTTCTCAGAAGAATGCTGATTTCTTTTTGCCCATAAAATGTGGTATTTACCTAATGTGATCACACTGCTCTATAAATTTTATTCATGTGCTACGCTTTATTTCAATCTATTTACTATGGCAAAAATCTGTGCTTTCTAAAAAAAACTATCGAACTTGGAAAACCATTATTAAAAATTGGATTATTCAATACGGGCCAACAGGATATGAGATTAGCCTAGAATGCCTTATTATACAAAATGCAAGGAAGCTCTCCAAAACTATCAGCTTTATGTCAAAAGACTCAGGAGCCAATGTGATGAAAATCATTTTAAGTAAAGATGAGGCAATTTGGATATCAATAAGAATAATAGCTGCAAAAGACTTAAAATATATAACATATTTTAAATCCATGAATTCTTATTAATATCTAACAATATAAACTACCAAAACTGAAACAGCAAGAAATAGAAAACTTGAACAGACTGATAACCAGAAAAGAAACTGAATCAGTGATATTTAAATATATACAAATATCTGGTTGCCTTTGAAGGATACTAGGAGCTGAGTTATTATTTTGAAATTGGTAAATAAGGGAAAAGAAACAAGCATTTTCCTGCCTTCCTATATGAACTATACTCAGGATAATAACTAATTAAGACAGCTTTTCCTTTTTGGAAAGATTCCATCTAACAAATGATAAAGGAATATGGATTCAGAATTACAACCATCCTGTAACACCTAGTGAATTAATGAATCAAGGTAACAATCATTAACTTCTGCTAAAAACACAAAAGGAGAGATGACCAGAAGTTACATGTCTCTAAATAGGAATATTTAACATCACCTATGGAGTATTCCTGCCAAAAAAATGAACATGAATCTTACAAAGTTTCTAGATCTAGCTACCAATTTATAAGGAATATGTAGCAGAATAATATGCTAAATACCACAGTGTTGAAATAATCAAATTGAAATTCTACATATGTTACTAAAGACTTAGAAGATATATTAACCAATTGGGAGATAGGGACCTCATTTTTGTCTTGATTCAAATAAACTGTGGGGAAAAAATGGATGATGATATTAATGAATTACTATTAATCTGCCTGCATATGATAATGATATTGTGGTTATGTTGAAAAGAAGAGTATTCTTTCACAATACAAACTGAAATATGTACAGATGACATGACATGGTGGCAGGTATTTGTTTCAAAATAAATGTGAAGGACAAAGAGATATAGATAATTACAGGATTCCTTGTATATTGGTCATTAACAAAGCTGAGTTAATAGTCCTTGGGGGTCTTCATACTATTCTCTCTATTTTTTAATTAAAATATTTCACTATGAAAATTGAAAATAATTTATTTTTATTTCAAATTGGGAAGTTGAACCATAAATTGAACTTAAAGTGAAATTTGTTTTTTTGGCAAAACAATAATTGTTTCCTCTGTCCAGTCATGTATCAAAAACATGGGCTACACAAGAATTTCTCAAGAGATAATTTAAATAAGAAACCACATTTCAGGGGCAGCTGGGTGGCTCAGTTGTTAAGCGTCTGCCTTTGGCTCAGGTCATGATCCCAGGGTCCTGGGATCAAGCCCTGCTTCAGGTCCTCTGTTCTGTGGGGAGCCTGCTTCTCCCTCTCCCACTCCCCTTGCCCATGTTCCCTCTCTCGCTGTGTCTTTCTTTATCAAATAAATAAATAAAATCTTTAAAAAATAAGAGAGAGACCATATTCCATTGTAAAAAAAAATTCTATTAATGATAAAATTTCTTTTAAAAACATCATGGATCACCTATGATTTCCATTAGGTATAAATAAATCTTTCCACAATATAATTCAAACACTTTTCCTGTTTTTTATCATAAGTGAAGATAGAACATACAGCTGGCCATCATGATCAATTCAACAGTTCTCAAAGTGCTTGAAAACAGTTATTAAATTTATCCAGTCTTCTTTCCTGAGTAGGAAAAAAAAGCTAATTTTCTAAACCTCTTTCACTATCTAGGTCCTACTTTTCCACATTCTAATCTTTATGCAACTAACTCTTCCTTGTTACCTCTTTAAAAACATTATATCCAGGCGCCTGGGTGGCTCAGATGGTTAAGCGTCTGCCTTCGGCTCAGGTCATGATCCCAGGGTCCTGGGATATAGTCCCGCATCCAGCTCCCTGCTCCTAGGGAGCCTGCTTCTCCCTCCCCTTCTCTCTCTCTCTCTCTCCCCCCCGTCTCTCATGAATAAATAAATAAAATCTTTAAAAAAAATAAAAATAAAAATGAAAACATTATATCCATGAATGATCTTCCATATGCTATCCCCATATTGTCATATAGCACTGGAATTCCTTTCTTCTAGGCAGAAATTATTTTTGTTTTTATTTAATCATGAAGTTTACCACATACTAAAATTTCAAGTGGTGATGTTCTTGATATTCTATTCCATCTTTCAACATATATTACAAGAAATTTTAAATATAAATAATGATTTGTAAATAGGTTTCATCAAGTGATATTTCTATACCTAACATTTATTGTCAGTTCATCTTGTCAAAGACTATGGAGATGATATATTAAATTTATAAGAATGCATTTAAAGAAATGGTTGAGTTTTCAACTAATTCATTCTATGTGTCAAAAATAACTCACAGCTGGTATGGATTTTCTGTTATTAAAACTCTCAGAATTAATGTTTTGTAACCTATGAAGCCTAAAAACATTACATCCATTAAGAAACTAAATAGCTCAAGTGGTACAATATCAGACTTGATTAATTTAGTGCCATCAGAAGACAATGAATAATATTAAATCATCTCCTAGGGACAGCCAGGAGTAACTCACAATCCATAATATAGTCTGACTCATGATTTAGAAAGATTGCTGTCCCATGCTTAGTAATCCATATTCTTAGATTTGTTTTGTTTTGTTTTGTTTTGTTTTTGGTTAATAGTAACAGACCTCTTAGTCTCTCAACTTGCTTTGTGTTTTCCTCACAACTAAGAGTTTTGTATTAATTTTGGTTACTTTAAAATTAGCAGATCATTTTAAAAATCACTGAAAATACATGTTACAACTACTGAGGTGAAATTAACCTCTTCAAACCTAATACAAATTCATGTTCTTGGTCTCTTGGTATCACATTCTAATTAAGGGAAAAGATATTACTTGAGATAATTACTCTTTCCCTTCCACACAAATGGCATAAACGTATCTTCATAAATACCTCCATCCCTTAATCAGACCATAAACTTGTATGGACAGTGGAAATTCTTTATAAATATTGGTATACTTCAAGTTATTAGTAAGTGGTAATTATTCTACTCTGGTATCTATACTATATCAGGATATTTGAAATATAGCAGAGACTGATTTCTTATTACTGAATTACTCAGAACAAAGAAAGCTTGAGATATGTAGTTGTTCATCTAAAAATAGGGAAAAAAAACCCAGAAAATTAATGATTCCTCTTAATCCATATATTTAAAATACATTCTAAAGTAACTCAAGAATATTACAAGATCTAAAATTAAGTTCTGGGTGCCTGGGTGGCTCAGATGTTTAAGTGTCTGCCTTCGGCTCAGGTCATGATCCCAGAGTCCTGGGATTGAGTCCTGCATCGGGCTCCCTGCTCCTT